ATATATATATATATATATATATATAAACTATCCTCTCTCTTTTTTTTGTTTATTTTAAAATTTTGTGTTTTAGTTTTTTTTTATGTTAATGAGTAAAAAATGTGTATCAATAACGTAAAAAGAGGCTATTCATATTTATGAATAAATTATCCATTAACATAAATGGGTAATACTATTTTATTCATATTTATCCCATTATCCATATTTTATCCATATTTAGCCCATTATCAATTAGGATATTTTAAAAGGATAATTAATGGGTAGGCTTGGCAAGGTACCTATTTTATATCCGGTCGAGTGCAATCCCTACTTGAAATCGTCTTCATTAACCTTTAAAATACAAACATTAATAAACATGATCAATGCTAACAAAATCAACAAAACTTTTTGAAGTGTTTTCTCGGCTATAAATTAGACGTGTGTGATAATTCAATTGCATCCTATGAATTAATTCTTTTTCAAGAATAAGAAATTGTTGTTGTAAAAAACATGGCAATTTAAAAAAAAAACCATTTTCATAGTACTAATCATTTTTATTAGTGCATTAATTATCATTAGACCAGTTCATAGTTTTAGAGAATATCTAGAAGTTGTAAAGTGTTTACACAAGTTATCGAGGAGTTGTGTAGGAGCAATTATTAAAAGTATGAAGGGTGATTATAACAATATGTCGGGATATTGTTGTTATTAGCTTAAGGGAAAACTTGTCACCATAATTTTAATGAGTTCCAAAAACTCATTCAAAAAATAGTAATGACATGTCAATTTATGGTTGAGAATGGACGATAGAGATTGATTGTGTTTTTTATTCGCTTTTACGTCGTATACCTACAAAACAAGTTCTTTTGATAGATCGAAAAACCTTTCAAAAATCTAGTTAGTGATTAGATATAAGGAAAATGATCCGATTAGGCTATTGAAAGGTGTTCGTTAAGAAGATGAATAGTTATATTTTCTTACCTGTAGAGAGAATTGTGAAGAGTTGGGAATCGAAATCCTTGGTAGTTAGGATCTTTATATAGATGAGACCTTAGAAGACGAGCATGCTTAAAAAAGTAGGATAATCTATTCTTTTGATGACGTTCACTAACACCAAGTGGAGTGATTTGTCCCCTATGATGTGACTTATAAGACATTTGGTAATAGTAGTGATGATGTGAAAGTTTTTGATATGACAATAAGAATGGCTAAAACATGCTTTCATTTAATAAGAGATTCATTGGGTCTCTTTGATGATTGTGCTCACCTATCCCAAGGTTATAGATCATGTGATGGGTTCACATGATGCATCCAGATGATCCTATGCATAGAGAGTCCCCTTCCTTAGCATTTGATAATGTGTCCCCTTGGATAGACCTTGTTTTATGCCAAATTACCCTTGTTTGGTTCTAAATTTAGAAGACATCACCAACCATTTATTTTACATCATACACACTAACATAATTATAGAACTTCTAAAGATGAAGTGATTCTTTAATGATTGTTGTTAAGATGGTAAGGCTTACTCGAAAGATGGTGATTATGCGTGATGGAATAATTGTAAAACAAATCCTTCTAGTTAGATGGAGGACTCTCTGATGATCAAGTTAGTGTATAAAGGAGAAGATCAACTAGAGGATGAATAGTGATAGTAAAAAGAGAGTTTTAGAACCATTAACTTTAGGTCTCTTAGTTGTTGTATAACTAAGAGAATCATCAAGTTGCATAGAAGGAGGGTAGAATGATTTATTCCTTTGCTTGTCAATAACCTATGATACTAGTCGGAAGGATAAGTTTTTTTTATGTTGACATGTTACTATTAGAAGAACATGATGGTGTCTTTATTAGTGTTGGTTAGACAAAAGTAGTCTTAAGAGTATAATTTTATTTAATAGATTTACTCTTTTTTTTTTTTTGTTGGCAAGAGGTTTGTTTGATTGTTTGGCCCTTGATTGATCGAGTTCTTCTCATAGGTGTTTCTTAGTGGCACATATACATCTGCCTATTTATGTCTTAAGAGTGGTTTTGTCCCTTAAAATTTTTCTCCCATGTATCATTAGGCTAGCTAAAATAGAAAATCATGTGTATATGTGTAGCTCATGGTGGAGACTTATGGATTATGTGGGATGACACATGTCACTTGGATATATTAGTTACCTCCCGAGTCTTGGCAAACATGATTATGAAGATTAACTTTACATCTAGAAATTTATGGAACATGTGTCACATCCGAATAATCAAGAGATATCTTCATCTATTCTATCTTTATCTATTACATTCGAAATCATCATTGTATTTTACTTTGGTAGTTTTGCCTTTATGTGAGAGACCAATCTTTTATGATTGGACGTATGGGAGGAGGTGAAAAGACTAGGCATTTAAAAAAATTGAATGCCTGCCAGGATTTAGTCCACATCATTATCTAAGTACCACAGTTGACTTATTGTGATTTGCCATGTCACCTTAGGCTTGCTAACCGAGCGTGGGTCCTTCATGTAATCTGACGTGGAGACTTATGTGTATGGGATTATATAAGGTAATAGAACCTTTTTTTCTCTCGTTTTCACTTCATCATCTTTATTATTAGTTTTATAATAAGTGATTTTGGACGAGGGTATGAGATTTTTTAAGAGTATTTTAGACAAATTTCATCCACCAACCACCTTTAAATAGTCCCTCATAAGGTTGCAAAGGTGTCCAAAAGTCTCCATGCTGATGAAAATCTTAATAGAATAATATTAAGAGACTCGTTATTTTTAATAATCATTTGAGGTGGAGGTACCATGTTGTTATTCCAGACCAAAAGGATAGGATTAACAAACAGTTAGCTGGACTTAGGGGGGACATGTAGATAAATGCCTCTACATATATTTATGCCTACAATAACTATAACCTCCCTCTGTCAGGATTTGTGGTAGAGGTTTCCAACATTATAACCTATGTGTGACTCTATCTTAAAATCAATTTGCAATCTGTCCAGATAGGCTGAATTGCAAGTTTGTAAAGGTAATTTTTCATAACAATAAAGATATTAAATGAGCAATTCAAATATCTTAAGCTAATTTAAATCAACATAACAAGTTCAAACTAAAAATTACAACATTAAAAAACAAATGTATGAGAAAAGATAAAATTGCAATATTAACGACGTAAAAAATTTAAGCAAAAATTCATATTTACTCATGATGAATATTGCTTGTAAATGGATACTCCAAACGTGTCAATCCTTCACGATCACAAACCATAGATGCAGGACTAGAATTAAGGCTCCGTTTTGTTTTCCAAAAAATATTTTCACGTCGTTTGACAATTACATGAAAAAACTATTAAAACATATATTCTTGCATTTGTTTGATATAGAAAAGTAAAATACAAAATCAGTATGTGATTGTTACATCAACAAGTTTTGAGAAAACTTCAAAAAGGCATATTCACAATTTCATAATATAAGATACATTTAGAAAAAAATTAATAAATTTTCATAAACACTGACTCTAAAATTTTAATTCAAAAAAATAAAATGTACTTTTTTAACCATCATACCAATTCATTAAAACTACTTGACACAAAATCAAATCAATATTCACATTTAGTAAAAAATAATAATAATAATAAAAATAAAAAAATAAAAAAAATTAAGTAATCCTAGCATTGTTATTTTGGTAACTCAATTAAGATGTTTTTTAAAAAAAAATTTTAACTGTTAATTAAGTCTAAAAAATAATTTTATAAATTATTAGTTATCATTTGTAAATAATTATTCATTTGATTTCAAAATATTAATGTTAGAATAATTTGTAACCAATTATTCACTACAATTACCAACAAAATTTACAACTGATTAAAATTACAAATTATTAATTTAGTTGTAAATGAATAATATTGGAAAAAAAATTTATTTATTAATAAATTAATTAATTTCAATTTTTTTTACAAAAAATTACGAGTCTTGTAGTAATCATTTTCAATCATTTAAGTATAGTTTAGGTAGTATTTGAGATAATAGTAAAAAAATAAAGATAAATTATTGAAATATTTATTATAAAAATAATTTTAAGGTGTAAAAATGATTTTTAAAAATATTTAATGTATCTATAATAAAAAAATCAAATATTAGTAGAAATAGAGAAAAAATAATTAAATAATTAATAATAATTGATAAGGAATAATTAAAAACTAATTTGATATATTTGAAATAAAAAAAGATGGAGAAATTTTTTTAAAAATATATCGAGAGAAAGGTAAGTAACGCAAGAGCGAAACAGTTCATAAGAAGGAAAATATTTTTCTCTTTTTTAATTAGAAAAATAATTTTTCAAAAATACTCTATCATTTTTAGTTGACTGAAAATCATTTTCCATTGACTTTCTTTCTAAACACGAAACAAACAATGGAAAATGAAAAAAACAAGTTCATAGAATTTTTTTTCCTCTAAACAAAAACAACCTAAGAATCAATCGATCATCTTACAAATCTATCAAGCATATTTGATTATAACTTATTTAATTACGATCTACTTAATTACAACATACATATTACCGCTTACGAGCTATAGCCTAACAAGTTTCGAATATATTGAAATTTAAAATAGTACTCTAGAAGTTGTTTGCAATTTTATTTATTTATTTATTTTACAATTTGAGTTTGTTTCCGTGTTGTATTATGTTTTTTTTTTTTTCTAGCTTGTACTTATAGGCTTTTTGGTTTTTTGTGATCTTTATGTTCCTAACAGAAATGGATGAGGAGAAATTGGAGAGAAAAAGAAAGATGTTGGGGCTGATTGGAATAACAATGAAAGATGTGAGGGCTAATTGAAATAAATTAAAGATTTTGGATGAAATTGAGATAACATATAAACCTCATGGGGTAAATTGAAATGTACCAAGAATGCTCTTTCGACTGAAACAAGTGTCGCTTGAAGGACATCACACTCCATATTACTTCTTTCATTCACAAAGAAGCCCCACATGCCTGCCTCTTGAAAGAGAAAATTAAAGTGAATGGCAAGCAAAGAAGAAGACATGGCAGAAGAAGAAGGACCACCGCCTGGTTGGCAATCCCTCCCTCCAGAACCATCTGGACCACCACCTGGGTGGCAATCCATCCCTCCAGAGCCATCTTTACCGCCGCCTCCAACACCACCTCCGCCGCCTTCAGGTGAGCCCCACCATACGTACACATATTTCTACTTTCAACCTTCGGCAATAATATATCTTCCAATTGAATCTAAAATCATCCCAAAATCTGTAAAAGAAAGACACTTTTTGTAGCCTTCATCCATGTAATTAGTCCTTAATTATTTTTGGGTTTAAATTAGTGAAGGATTATTTGTATGCAGAAATGGGTCAAATGGTTTGTGGGTCTTGCCGACGACTGCTTTCGTATCCAAAAGGAGTCAGACATGTACAGTGCCAATGCTGTCAAATGGTCAACTTTGTATTGGAAGGTTCAGTACCTTCTTTCTCTTCTATCTCTAGCGTAAAAGATACTAAGAATATTGCTCAAATCATTAGCGTAATGTTTTATGATATTGAACTTTAACCTGCTTGGTTTTCAGCTCATGAAGTAGGGCAAGTAAAGTGCGGTAGTTGTGATGTATTGCTGATGTACCCTTATGGAGCTTCATCTGTTCGATGTTCCTCGTGTCGATCCGTGACCGAAATTGGGGTAAGATTGTGGATATTTTCATCATTCTTTGGATTAGTTATGATTGGATGCTTTGGCAAGGCTGGCATCCAGGAGAAGGATTTGCTTTTTCTATGATCGAATATGCTGTGATGCTTTGGTGTGAGTTTTTGCATTGCAGTATTAGAACTGTGAGAAGTTACCGAATTATTTTCATTTACAAGGTTTAGGAATTACAATGTTTCTTGGTTTCTTACTTTGTCTTGTCGAAGTTCTTTTGGATTGTCAGATTGTTCTATTAGGATGCATATGATAAGAAAAAAATCTTCCTATAGGATTATGCGTTTTCATAAGATAAATGTTGGGGATTTCGATATACTTCAAACTTGACTAGACACAGATGAGCTAATGCATCCAGAGATTGTACCTAAACTTAGGCAAAATTGAAGATTCTCAAGTGTAGAAATCGAAAAAGGTATTCTGAGATTGTTGTCTATGATAATCTACAAGCATTTGCTAGAAAAGAAATCTGAAAAATCTTCTGAAAGAAAACATTGCATGGGCTTTTTTCCCCCTGATGTTCTCTTAGTTGTTATTAATAACCTCATACATGCAAATGTCATGTTCTAGACATTTTGATGATGTTCATGTGCAGGTGCAAAACAGGCGACCGCCATGGTCTGTGATACAAGGTTACCCTCCCCATACCGTGCCGTCGCGATAGATATTATTATTATTATTATTTAAGCCATAACTGGGCAGTGTTCACTTCTCTGGATGTGATTCTTCAAAATGTCTCTGAAGAGACACTTTTGTGGTTGCTGAGCTACATATCAATGTGCAAAAATAGTGGATCCTCATTACCCTCTCAGAATGAGCACCTAAGGTATACATCAAAAGTGCTTTAAACTTATTAAAACAAGTGATTGTATTTTAGGAAAGCCCAGCCATGTTGTTTACTCCCTCCAGCTTGAGTTCGGAAGTGCTTAGGAATTGGTGCTACCATCCCAGTGCCATCTTTTTGTCAAATCCATCTTTTTCAGGAATGTGTAAGATTTTTATACATTCTGCCATTTATCTCAATTGTAAAGATTGGCATTTCTGTTTCCTTGCGTGTCTATGCCAATTTAAAGAATTTTATTTTAATTGGTTTCTAAGTTTCTCAGAGATTTTATTTATTTTTAATCACATGCATATATTTTGTACAAGATCCTTTTGTTATTGATGTAACTTTTCAAGTTATTCAAAGCAGAAAGAAAAATCCGTTATGTCTTGGACGAGGGAGTGGCAGTTGGTTCATCTTTAACTAAAAGTAAATAGCATAGCTAGCAAGCATTTTTCTTTCCTTTTCATTTTTTTTGGCTGTGCAATGTTTAACTTGTCACGAACTCAAAAATTGTGCCCTTAATTTTTTCTGGCTAGTGCATATCCAGTACATGTTTGAGGACTGCTGAGTGTTACTCTTCAAGGGAGGATGGATGACGTTTTATTCTTTTTCGAGTTCCATGTCTGAACAATGCTACACTCAATTGGGGTTAACTTGATCCTTAATTTATGCTCGAGATTAATTGTATGGTACTGTGATACCATGGACTAATCATTCCCATATTCCGGCATTGAAAACAATTCTACATTGTAGTCACAATCTGTGCCCATTTTAGGCTTATGACTTCTCAATCTATGTTGTAGTTGCAAATTGCTAGAAATCACTGTCTAGTCTGCTGCTGAAAAGGGCTCTTTAATGGGTGGGCAAAGCGTGTTTTTTGTGCAACTTTGTACTAGGGTGTTCAGATTTTTGGGTTCAACTTACATTAAATTTTAGAAAATTTATTGGAAGTGCTAGAAGTTACTTTCAAATCAACAAACATTGATCTAGCTGTGAGATCTTTACCTGTTGCTCCAAATCGGCAAAGATTTCATCACGGTGATGCATTCTTACTGGTCGCCATGGTAGACAATCTTAGCCGAACGGTTGAGGCATTTTGGTGGTAGCTTCTTTATCAGATTTTGAAGCTGCTGCTTCCCAGTGATTTTCGTTGGTATTGAACATAAAGGGAGAATAGTGAGGTGAAAATTTCACATAGTATAGAGAAATGAAACACAGCATCAACAAAATTTAAAAGTTAAAAGCCCATTATCAATAAATAGATAGGTTAAATAACCTCCGTTTCATGCAACAATGCGGCAATTTCAGCTAGTTAACAAACATCAAGAATATTAGAATCAAAATGGCCTACCTTCTCAACATATGAGAATAAAGTTCCATTATAACATGCTATCTGTTTTAGCAGGCAATCTCCTGAGGAAATTTTGAGGAATGGAAGGAATGCCAACACGAAGTCTTGGAGGCCTCATCGTGTAAGTCCATGCAGCAAGAACCAAGTACTTGAACTGAACTTTATGAACCAAAAAACAAGCAATCAGACAGAATATCAAAAACATTGCAGTGGCTCGCGGATCCCTCCAGCTTACTAGAGCATGAATCCTCTCCAATTGAGTTGCCAAATCTCCTATCATTATCATCAACCTCCCTGCAATCCCTCTCAATCTATCATACCTTGTCTTTAGTGCTTCACCTTGCTTGGAAGACGGAAATGTATCAAATTCTTCGTCGAGTTCATCAGGTTGTGCAGTTTCAGCATGAGATAATCTGGTATCCATATGTGGAGGGTGTCTTGGCCTCTTTGGAAAGCACCAAACTCCAAGCACGAAGGTAGCCAAAAAGAAAGTAGGCAACACTAGATTTGGAGACATAACCATGGCAACGAACAATGAGTAACTTAGGATTGTGATTGCTGAGTTCTTCCAATGGCGTATCTGATCAAACTGCCTCCAAAGAACAACGATACCGCTCAAACATGCCATGACCCTCTCACAATTTGCCTTTGCTCTTCTCAAGCTCCATTTGTTTAGACCTGTATCAAGCATGTATTCCACAACCTCCCTCCTTAGAGGTGGGTCGGCACGGCCAAGCCTCAAAGAGAGGATATGATTAGCTTGGTGTCTTAAACTGTCAAGCTGATAAACTGATAATGGTTTAAGGTAATGCATCATAGGAAGCAAAGGTTGTGAGTAAGTATGAAACAAGTTAATCCAATTGTTGCAACTAAATTTCACAGCCAAATGAAGTTCTCCCATTTTCTTCAATCCATTTGGTTGCAAGACTATAAGTGGGTAGGAATGTGTGTAAATCCTACCAGTCTCTAGAGTAGACAACCGAATCCTTACCTTGCCAAGCCTTGGATCCCTCGTCCCTCCATTCTTATCCCCTGCCTGTAAATGATAGTTATCAAAAACTCCAATAGTAACAACTGTGTAGGGATCATAAACATCCCAGTAATATTGCTCATTCCACTTTGGAGCATAACTGTCTACTATAGTACTAGTCCTAACCCACTTTCGGCCGTATTTCGCTACGCAGTAAGCATCGGTAGTTCCACGACCATCCTTGGACTTCGTCGGCAGCAACCCTTCAGCTTTGAGGATGCCTAGCTCCAAGACCCCTATTTTCTCTGGGCATAACATGGGAGATGTTGCCCTCAAATCACTGCTGTAGTAAGTTGGTTCATCAAAAACATGATACACACCATCTAAAAAGATCCTCAAATGAAGCCTACTAGCAAACTTCACTTCTCTCTTCTCCTCACCCTCCGCGACATGCTTCTCGAGATTAATCCACTGATCACCAATAGGTTGAGGCAGCAACCTCTTCTCCACTTGGTGCAGAGGAATCACAGACCTCCCTAAGCATGCCTCCTTATTAGCTCCCATTTTGTCCTCCACACTTAAAATCAAGGGATCATCAAACGGCTCTGCTGCAACAAACATCACTTCCTCATTCCAAGTAGGATTGAGATTCTTATCCTTCGAACCTGTAGTCCTCAGAACCAAGTTTCCAAGAACAGCCTTGACGTAAGCTTCCGGTTTCCTGTTCTTGTCTGCAGGCGCCAAATCCTGTGCTGCAATCACTTGAATTCTAAGATACCAAAGTACAGGAGAGAGGTATACATTAGAACGAGTGTTTGAAACGCTTTTTCCACTAACAGCAGCTGCATCAGAATGCCAAGCAACCGAAAATGCGTCGTCAGCTTGATTCCCTATCCAAACAGCTAACATCAACTCACCTACAACCTTAACCCCATTTCTATCCTCCAATTTGTACCACTGTGGTGCCAATGGACTATCTGGTGGAAACCGTGTGGGAATATTGCCCAAATCAAAGGAAAGATGGCCAATAATCTCGTTAATCGCAGATTCCTTATTCCTTACCAAGATCTCTAATCTCCCACCCTGAAGCCGATCTCTTGTGAAAGCATAAACTTCGTTCCATTCTGGGTTTGAGGTCTCTTCAAAGCATCTACTTGTTCCCTTGTAGTTTCCAATCCTTAGCTCGACAAAAGGGTTACAAGTGCCGGTCGTGTTGTTCACTGGCAAGCCACTGGCTCTCACAATTCTGACGTAAAGAAACTGTCTTTGCTCAACTAGAGTAAGCTTGTCACTGCCTATGACTGTCCTTCCACCAATATCAGGTGATGTCACCTTGAGGGTATAGTCCTCCTTTGGATTCTCTTTTGGAGGCATTTTCTCAAACTACAAGAATTAACAGAGAGTTATTAAAAAGAACAAAAAAAATAAAAAAGAGTCACTGCCTGGAATCTTTATTCATTCCTGTTATACATTTTGTACTAGGAGCAAAAGGAGCACCAACCTTTCAAAGGTAAATCAATATCCAAGAATATGAAAACACAGGTCTCTGTGAAAGTTTTGAATGCTTGACATCTGTGGTCATAAGGAAGGAAAATACTTTCAGATTTCGTAGTCAAACTAGGAAAATTCATGCATATTATTCATCGATATGTATTCTTGTACAAGTGTTCAAAATATGATTTTAACAGTAGTTTGTATCGGACAGACTTGCATAACATCCTAAAGCCTATCAAACTAACAAATAGATAATGTTTGTCGAAAAAATGGCCTAGCTCCACCACTTTCAATATCCTATTAATAATTTATACAAAAATTCTTCAGATCATGACCTATATAATAGTCATATATGGCACTTTGATATGTGGTTGCTATCACATCAATCATTTTGTAATGTTACAGCATATAATAAGCCTGATCTGCACAATTTTCTGCCTATGCCACGCACATCCACCTAGCATACCTTCGAAAATTATGATTAAGTGCTGTAATGCAAAAATTATAACCACAAATAAAGCAGAAAATGTCTTATGTTTAGTAACCTAAGAAAGCTGAAAGGAATAAATCATAATAGAAATTTCAGAGAACGAACCACCTAAAAAGTCATGTGATAATACTGTCTTTCCAGCAGACTTCAAGCATTAATTAAGTACAAACTGCTACAAACCCCATTAGCAACCCATGCTGCAAGTTAGTAGATAGCATAAGAAATCAAAACCCTATAACAAAAATATCCCAAAAGTGCTTGGAATGAGTATTAAAATCTGAACATACCAACAATTAATTGTTTATAGATGTGCAAAAGCAGAGTAGGCTCAGAAAAACACTGATATAATTACAAGAAAGCAAAAATGATGCAACAAAAATAAAACCTAACATATTACTTGAATGTCAGTAGTTCTTTAAGGCACTATCTAGCTCTCTTGTACTCAGGCGCAAGCGTAATTGGATTCAATTTGTTGAGAATATGTTTTGTGCCTGTTGTTAAGAGTTTTTCAGGTCCAAACGAGTAAATAAATAGAGAGATTGAGATGACCACCTTTGCTAGATGAATTGGAATTAATAATAATTACAGTTGAATATTTTACAATTATAGGTAATTGAAAATGGTAAGTTTAATGAAATCTTATATTTGTCTTTCATGATTATGTAACGGTTGGGTGTTGAATATAGAATTGCCTAGTACCATGCAGGTGATAATGAATGAGAGAGACAGCCTTGAGATTTTCCCTTTTCTTCTAGTGGGATGGATCTTGAATGGCAATCTAAAAAGGAAAGTTTTTTAAAAAATAATAATAGTACAACCAGGTTGATTTGGAAATTCAATTTGCATTGAATGCTAAATGCTTCTTTCAAAATAATTATAATGTTTTTTTAATAGGAATAATAAGCTTTGTTTTTTGTTTTATAGCTACAAATTGGCAATTTAAGGGAATCTTTAACATTCCATGGGTATTCAATTCATACCCATCAGGTTAATTGCATCAATTTCATGAATTAATTATTCAAAATCTCACGATATTACGTTTGATTTTTGCTGCTTAATGGAAGATTATCCGCTGATTATAATTCTATGACACGCAATAAATTATGAAAGCTATCATACACTAGCAAGGCCTTAACCGGCAGCAATTTTGGAAGAACAAAACCCTATGAAGATTTCTTTTTCTGCTGTTAACAGGACTTAGCTTCTTGGATTTATATTTCATCAGTATTATCACCGAAACAATCATGTTTCTGTCATTCATACGATGAACTTAGAAGTTAAAATACTAAAACCAATCCAACGCATGCAAGCTTCCAGAATTTCACTTCTATAATCACCTAAGTCGCCTTCTTTTGAAAATTCCAGTATCTTTTGGATGATTTCTTAATCTAACTAGTTAAAGCTGTCGTGAATTCCTTAGTCTTCGTGATTCACCCTTTAAATGAACAGATACTTCCCTAGTCTTCAACCTAACATGGTGGCAGCAGTGGCTGTGGTAATTGCGACATCTATACTTGCTTGAAGGAAGGATAGACTGAACTTTTCTTCTTCCCGTTATGGACTTCTGCTTTCTACCAACACTTAAATGATGATAAATATCTGAAAAATCACTTTCAGAACTTGAAGTGTACCCGTCAGCTAGCTTCTTGCATGTCTCGAAATTGGCGTCTTCAATTTGTGCCAGTGATTTTGGTACGAAAAAACGTGCATTACCAACATATATAGACTCTAAAGACCATGAAATCTTACCCAAAAAAATAAAAAAGAGCAAACATATATCACAAACATGAACGTTACCGATGGAGAAATTTTATAATACATAAAGAGTAATTAATGGTATGTACAATAATTATTTTTTTGATCTACTTTGAAAATAGAGATAGACACACAAAAAGAAAAAAAATAAAAGAGAGAATAAAAAAATTTGAGCGAACGTGAAAATCTTCTTATTACTTTTGGTAGATATGGATATAATTTCTCTCTTTTTTATATGTCTATCTCTCTCTTCAAAATAAAAAAAACAGGAGAGAGAAAATAAAAAAATTTGAATAGACATGAAAATCTTCTTATTACTTTTGTGGATATGAATATAATTTTTTTCTTTTTTATGTGTCTATCTCTCTCTCAAAGTGGACTCAAGGAGTAACTATCGTACTTATCACTAATTACTCTTTATGCATTATAAAAATTTTCCATTATGATGATTTCTATCTAAAAAAAAAAAAATTACTTATGTAGGAGAGGCCAAAGATCATCAGCAGTTTCCAAAGATTGGAGACGCATAAATGTTCAATGAAACAAATTAATTCACATGGTCCATAGCAGACGTCCCTGCAGGTTCAAACCAAGAAATTCAACAGCATATGAGAGCAAAAATACATGGATTCAGTAGCTAGAACATGATTACCTAGCTTTTTAAACAGAGAAGAAAAGAGAATCATCATACATACTCGCATGATGCGCCAAATATATTCTTGATAGGAGCAGCAATAAAGCATTTCCAAGAACACCTCCAATTCCATTATCAGCTTTACTAAATGACAGAACCCTTTTCTAAACAAGTCGACAACCATATATTTCGCTTCAAAAATCAACATTAAGTCACTGAAAGTAACTCTATTCCCGCTTAATTATGAAAACACGAGAAACGATAAATAAAATCGTTAAATAGAATCGGTACAAAACGCTAGGAAAAACTATGAATATACGAACCATATATATTGTTGATAATAATTTACTAGGCTGAAGATTCGATTGTTATACAAAGGATTATTTCCAAAATGCTGCATTTTGTGGCCAAATTGTTCTTATTCACTGCAAAATGTACGCACATGAGATGATAAAAACACAACTAACTTGATTAATTGTTATTTGTAACACTAACAATATGCATACAGATACATATAAATGAATGGAAAATGAAGCATTTATAAGAAAAACTGAAAACAGAAATGGAAAACGGAAGGGAAATAAATTAACAGATTGCCTGAGTCCTGACTGAACTCAAAGCCTTACGAAAGCCACGAAGTGTTCAAAGGGGGAGGGAGAAGAAACGGTTTTTAACGGTAAAAAACTTTGTTTATAAATGAAAGGGTGTGGGCTCTTTAGATGTTATTTGGAGTTAGGCCTAGGTTCACATCCTAGCCCATATTATGCCCAACTATGGATTATATAAATTTGAAGATATTAACTAAAGGAAAAAACTTCTTCAAAAAAAATTGTTTCAAGTTAGAGAGGATGAATTTCTTCAAAAAAAATATCTATATTCACTTGTGTTGGTTTTCCTCATGAAAGTAGTTTTCCAATAGTAGTCAAAATTGCGTATTGCAAAATTTCTCGGCATGTGAAGAAGTCTTCAAAACTGTACCAAAAAGATTTACAGGGAAACCTCACAAATAGTCACCTCTTAATTTTGCTCTCAAACAAATTTTTTATCAATATTTATCTTTCAAGTTTCAAAAAAAATCTCAATTGAACATCTCGATCCATATTTAATCATAAATTCCATTCAAACTGTATTTACAAAAAAAAAAAAAAGAAACCACTTATTTTGAAGAAAATTTCTATTAAAAATATTAAGTTCCTTGCTAACCCTTCAGTTGAGAAATCAAAATTATTTGAAATAAAATTGATAAAAATATTTGTTTCGAAACAAAATTTATACTAATTGAATAGATGAAGGAATTTTTGAGATTTGTTCCAAAGTTATTGGTTTTTTTTTTTTAATAAATCCCACGCTCATATGTGCTATAATAATTCAGTAGTGTACGCAAACGGAAACCTATTCTAAGAACAACATGTCAATTCACTTTGAATTATTGTCCTCCACAAAGCAATAAATTAACTGACTTTAGAAACTACGAAAATAATGAAATTTGAAGCATTCAAACTCCTGGAAAGCATGATTTACGTGTATCACCAAACCTATTTTAGTATTTCTCTGTTCATTATTTTTTATGATTGACTTCAATCTCTTGCCAAAGAAACTTCCTGTTGTCTCACCAAACTACTTGATTTATTACTGTAGTCATTACTTAATATTTTCGAATGTCTTACCAAATAACTCTCTTACCTGCTACCGCAGAATTTTCTAATGATACCGTTGGCCAAACCTGAACAGTAAAAGGTATTGCATAGCCTGACGCTGGTAGTCAAAACCACCAACAGCTGCATAGGCAACGTTTAGCTAGTCATCCTAAGAAATTTTAAGCAGCCGCCAACACTGGTAGTTTAATTGGGACTGGGACAGGGACATGAAAGAGGAGAATGCTGGAAGCAAATGCATAGTAGTTTCCTCGGGGCAGGATTTTGTAAACTACATTGACCATCCACAATTAAATGCTTGCACTAATCTCTACCGATGCAATCTTCAATCATCAGGAGGGAAGTCCTCATCTGAGCCATTTTCCAGGAACGAACCAAGGCTTTTCCTCAAAATGCTGAAAGTTCTGTCATCCTGTGTTTCGCAGAAAGAAAAATGTGGGTAAAAGTAGTGTTGACACGAGAGCGGGCAGATCTAATAATTCAGTGACCTGATGTCTATAATTAGGTTACCTGCTTTTTCTTTTTCAATGACTCCTCCAATTTGGCAATTTTATCGGCACAGGTTTTCTCATGCTCAGAGATCATGCTCTTCTCTTTCTTCCCTGATATCGACCCGGGAGAATGAGTTGTATTATATTTAACTAGGAGAAATAAAGAGTCTTATGTTCAGTCCTTACTTATTTGTTCATATCTCATGCACAGCCTTTCCTTTTCTTCCTCGAATTTGGAAATAGTATCTGCCAAGCAGCGTTGACAAATAGCACTAAATTCAAACCAGAAATGATTCGGAACTGAATTTGCTTATCGCAAATAGAGTAAAATTCTGACAGGAAACAGCAAACCAAGCACAGTTTTCAACTTAATGATCGAAACTAAAGTACCTTAATGCAAGAGCAAATCTTTTAGAATGGTGACACCATGCTTAACACGATTACAAGGTGGTGCACAAGGGTAGTAAAAAAAGATCTGGTATATCTAACATTTTCAATGTTGCCCCAAAAGTAAGCAAGATTATCTCAGCTTCAACATAAAGGTATCAATTTCTAAAGAAACACTCGCATTGATGGAAAACAGTAATATGGATTAGCTGTCAGTAAAGACAAGACGGATGTGCTGTGCGCAATTCGTTTTTAATCATACCCATTACTATCAGTGGCCTAATCTCCTCAATTTCCTTCATTTTATTCTACTTCTAAGTGTTCCATCCACAACCCATGTGTAGATTGCGTATAGAATGGCGATCAATCGACAATTATTATACTAGCTCAACATTTCAAAAACAGTTAAAAAAATGCAAGAACATTAACCCCAGAAAAATCAAGAAGCAAAGTACCTTTCAAAGCCTGCAAATGAGTTGCTTTTTCCTTGCAAAATTTGTCGTAGATCTCTTGAAACTTAGCAGTCTCACTCTTCAAGCAATTTTCACACTACAGACATCCAATCACATAATCACACCCATATGCACAACATTAATTACACTTTAAAAAATACAAAAATCAAAATAAATAAATAAAAGCTAAATTGTATTCTCGTTTTAATCCCCCTTTTGTTCTCTACAAACCTCCTTTGAGCTCTTTGAGAGTGCCTTGGCAAAAGTTTGCCTAAGAGTGAAAAAAAGAGGATAAAATTAAACAAGAGCATCTTTAGATTTAATCTGGTTTTAAAAATGGATTTGCTGTTTCTTAAAAATTTACCTGTCCTTCTCTATCTTAGACTTCAATTCATCAATCATAGACTTGATCTCAGAGCCCACACTGTCCCCATAAAATTAAAGAACACAGTCAAATCACTATATCAAATACAGAGATCAATAGATTAATAAGAAAACAAACAATAAGCAAAATCAACTGTCAAAATTAAATCCAAACACTAAATTCAAATTGTTTTTAGAATAGCACATTTAAACATACAAAAAGAAAAAAAAATCAGAGTCTCTACACAGATTTCAACCAAAAAAAAAAACTCTCAAACTATTAAAAACTTGTGAATTAATTGATCCCGTACGAAATCAAACACTTCATTCAAACTGTTATCACTAAAATCCGTGAACACGCAGAGAATAAGGGGAAAAAAAACAGATAAGATCTCAATACTCGCTAAAAAAACAAATACTGAACTTCTTCAATCTCGAAAACAAAACTATTATCGGCATCGCAACAAAATATGAAGAAATTAAACAAAAAAACATAGAATCGATGATTCCGCAAAAATATTATAAATCAAATAAATAACGGATTAAGTTCTAACCAAAGACGACGTTAAACTATACTGACCTAGAAATCGTCTGTTCGTTCTTCTTTTGACCGTCCTTTTGAGCTTTCTCTCTGATCAGGTGTAGCGCCGACATTATCCCCTGTATATCACTGCAATTAAGATCACAATTTCAATTTCAGTATTCTTCATAAAGACTATAAAAAAAATTACGAGAGGGAGGTTTCGAAGATGGACCTGGAGAGATCGGGATCAAACTCGTCCTCGATTCTGAATTTGGATGCCGATTTGGTGAGTAACGACTCGGCAACTCGTTTTTTGGAGCTTGTTTTGGCTGCTGACATTTTTGAGTGATAATTTCTGTTTAGTTTCTGGAAATGAAATCGAGAGAGAAAGAGAGATTTTTGTATGTGAGATTCTGTTGAAAATGAGAGAGTGAGGGAGGTGCGTTTCGTTTGTATGCCGCGCGCTTAAATTGGCCGTCTCTTTCAAATTCAAATTTTTAGACCGTCTAGTAGCTTTTTCTTTTTTTTTTTGGGTAGAAATTGTATTATCTTATATAATATTGTCCTTTCCTCCGATCAGTAACTGCCGCGTGGTAAAATGGTTGAATTCCTGTTGTACACTTGTCATATCCCTGACAGCTCGAGGGAATTTAAAAAAATGCTCTTCCCTTGACATTTTTTTTAAAAAAAACAATCCTTCACAAATAATTCCTAATTCTTTTTTGAATTTATACCGTCTCTGTAGTCGATAAAAATTCTTTACATGGAACTTTCATCTAGTATTTATCGTTAGCATTTTATATAAATTTTCTGGTATGTGACGTATGAGATGAATTAGATACGTGTAAAAAACTTTCCATTTAAAAAAAAACCTAAAAGAAAGAGTCAACATTTGTACAATAAAAAAGAAAAAGAAATCCAGATTACAAATCTTAATTCAAAAATCATAAATTTGATTACGAAATTGATGATTAAAAAATAAAATAAAATCAATCAATCAAATTTCTATCAACGTCCAACAGAAACCCTGAAAAATCAAAGCTTAGGGCCACTGTAAAACTAAAAATGCTGCAAGGGCCGCCGTCCAACTAATCCGAACAGAGTCACTAAAGCATCAAATAAGCTTGAAGATGATAAGATGAACATGAAGAACTGGACTTCCCGACCAGTTTTATTTGTAACAACTAAGTAAAGGTATGAAAAAAAAAAATAAGGCCATTAGCATCTGTACTTTCGTTTCTTGTTTCAATTAAGTCACAAGAACCAAACTCAACAAATTTTTATAAAACTTAAGAGAGAATAATGTATTATTTATGATCAAATTTGCCTCTCAAAGTAATAATATAATTGTTCTTCTAAAGCCTTTAATTAAATTAACACTATCGGATATAGTGTTAACATTAGCCTTATCCATCATTAAATTAAAAAAATACCTTTTATTTTTTAAATATAGTATGTGTTGTTACATTATCTACAAGATATTGATTCTCTTCTATGATGTTCAAATCAATTGTGAACGTGGTAGTATCCATGTATTCTTCATAAGCACAAAACAAACAAATATAAAAAAAATTATAACTATCATGATGCAATAGAAATTATAAAAAAACATAAAAATTCTTTATTTATCAATAAAAAAAGTAACAAGATATTCATTTCAATGATTATAATTAATCTAATGATCTTTTTGTTCATGATTTTCAAAAAAATTAGTAATATCTAAATGTGTCAAATTACTAAAACCTTCAAAAGGAACATTATCACAATCATTATTTTGATTTATAAAATTTACTTCTATATTACTTTCTTTCTTTTCAACGAAGTTTGATAAAGCTCAACGAGGTGGGCGTATGAGAAGTGCGTGACCAATATCTCTTCATACTACATCTATAACATTCATTTTGAAATGCTAACTTCATCCACTTTTATTCTTTTCTTGTTGATTTTCATAATTTATCCACTTCAAGTTGTATTATTATTACCACCACGATTATAACGATAATTATTTCGACCACGACTATAGATATTGTCACGACCACGTTCAAAATTATTATAAGATGCCACACTCATTTCAAGGAATGGAGTAGACCCGATTGAGCGGGATTCATAATTTTTCATCCATAACTCGTTATTTTGTTCAACCACAAGTAGCATGAAATTAATTCGGACTATTTCTCAAAACTTGTTTTTCGATATTGTCGTTGCAGGAGCATATTCAAAACATGAAAAGTAAAGAATATTTTCTCTCACTTATCCACATCGGTAATATTTTCTCCACGTAATTTTAGTTGAAAACTAATTCTAAATACTACGAATTATACTCACTCGTTTTTAAATCTTGTAATCTTAAGTGCATCCAATCTTAACGAGCTTTTGGGAGAATTACGGTCTTTTGATGGTTGCACCTTTCCTTTAAATTTTTTCACAATTCAAGTGGATCATTTACTATTAAATATTCAATTTTTAAATCCTCATAAAAATGATGATAAAGGAAGATCATTACCTTAGCACGGCTTTATAAGAATTCTTGATTATCATCCGTGATTGTTTGTCCAAGATCATTAACATTTAAATGTATCTCAACATCAAGCACCCATGATAAATAATTCTTGCTTGAAATGTTAAGGGTCACAAAATCAAGATTTGTGAGGTTTGACATGATAAAAATTCTATAATACAAGATATAATAATAATGTTAAAAAATAAGAACAAATACAAAAATAAAATTCAAACTTTTCAAACAACATACATTAGATCATTCAATTTTTTCAAACGTATACGACTTATATCATTAGATTTAAAGTAAAAGATAAATTAGATACATATCTCTTAATAGTCTAGTTGATTTGTGTCATTTTATAAAGCAATCGTGTTGATAACGTATTATAAAAGAAATGGCAACAATAGTAGAATTGAAAGGAAAGATGATAGGAAAATGAATTCACTATAAAATAAAATGAATAAAAGTTATAAGAACTTCAAATTATTTTCTCAATCTCTATAATGACATGGAAGAAAATTGAAAAAGACTATCAATAATTAAAAATACATAAATTATTGAATCAATCTCTTTCAATTTTTTATATTAAATGATAAATTAAATCACATTAAGAATTATAATAAGCAAAGATATAAAAAACATAAATATCTATATGGAAATTTTATTATTTCAGAACATCCTTTGTATATAATTCCTAATTCTTTTTTGAATTTATACCGTCTTTGTAGTTAATAAAAATTATTTACATGGAACTTCCATCTAGTTTTCATTTATCTATCGTTAATTTTTTATATAAATTTTTTTCGTATGTAACATATGAGATAAAATAGATACGTGTAAAAAATTTTCTATTTAAAAAGAAAAATCCTAAAAAAAAAAAGTCAATATTTGTAGAATAAAAAAAAATCCAGATCTTCTAAATCTTAATTCAAAAATCATAAATTTCATTAAGAAAATGATGATTAAAAAATAAAATTAAATCAATCAATCAAATTTCTATCAACATCTAACAGAAACCCTAAAAAATCAAAGCTTAGGACCGCTGGCAAAACCAACAATGCCGCAACGGCCGCCGTCCAACTAATCCGAATAGAGTCACTAAAGCATCAAATAAAAGAAATATCAAATAAGCTAGGAGATGGTAAGATGAACACGAAGAACCTGGACTTCCTAACCAGTTTTCTTTGTAACAACTAAGTAAAAGTATGAAATTTAACCCAAAAAAAGGGTCATTAGCATCTGCACTTTCGTTTTTTGTTTCAATAAAGTCACAAGAACCAAACTCGCTTCAAGAAAATCTTTTGATAGCTTCTCTAGAAATATATTCCCCTTCCCTCTCAACAATCACCGGCATCCGTCGCCACCAAATCACTGTTTATTTCCCTGTCAACCACCACCATAAACTTTCTTCTTCACTCCCACAAACTTTATTATCAGCAAAATCAAACCATACCAACAAAACACAAACCAAAAACAACAGCCCCGATTACTAATCCATGCAACCTTTCCAACTAAAAATCAAATCCACCGATCCCAAAACTCACTCCTAATTAATAGCGTCTTTAAAACTTTCCTACTTACAATTCATTTTTTTTTGTCACGTTTCAAGTTACTTGAATTTTAAAATCTTTATTGAATCATTGACTTTAAAAAAATATATAATACTATAATTTTATAATTGAGATTTGATTCCATCCAAAAATTCTTAAATCTTGTATCGGATGGCTCATTCAGTATCTTTTTATATTGCTTTCCTTGTGTATTATTTAACTAATTTATAGCATATTTTTTTGAATTTCTTATAAATTGTCTAAAATTTTTTATATATAAATAAATTTAAATGTTTATTAAATAAACATGTTTGGTTTTCAAATAATCTTATATAAATTATTATTTTTTTTTAACCATATGATATAATTTATAATTGTACGTAATTAAGAATTAATGTACAATTAAAATATCTTTTAGAAACTAATATTAATAGTTATGATAAATATAAAAACTCTTAAAAATAATAATTACTAAAAAAATTCACTTAACATCATATTATTATGAATATTTTTTATTTTTAATTTTTTTTCAACTATATGTTGCATCATTATAAATTAACAATACATAAATGAATAAAAAATTTATAAGTTATTTTTTATCAAATCCTGCCCTTTTTTAACATTATGAGTTCAAAAGAGTAAAAATAATGTAATATAACTAATAACAAAAAATAACCTTTAAAAAATTAACAAATAAATCAATCTAATATTTTAATGAATGTTGATGTAATCTAATTATTTTTTCATTTTAATATTTTATGTTTTAATTGACTTGTTTTTAAGCCTTTTTATAGTTTTGATAAGTATCAATATAGTACTATATAATTTAGAAGTGAGTTAGATAGTTTATTTATGTAGTTTAAGATTTTATGTGGAGTGTAAATAAAAATTAATAATAGAAAAACAGAATCAACCTATATTTTAGGATTAATTCTTTAAAAAAATAGCCTACTTTTATGATTAAATAATTTTATTCATAAGAATTTTCCAATATTGATCTTTTTCTTAATTAGAGATGGGGTTAAATTTATTTTTTGATATTGGCACAAAAAAAATTAATTAGAGGTGTGGTTGAATTTACTTATTAATATTGGCATAAAAATTTTTCATGAAGTTTGTATATAGTTATAGATTATGGATTTAACGTGAAATACTTTCATCAATAATTTATTTTTAAGATTTATCAAGTGACATGAATTCTAAAATTTTTACGAAGCGTTGGACTTTTAATAATATCTTATTAAATTAGATAGTTGAGTTTAAGTTTCTTTTATGACACTTAAATCTTA